TGTAAAGTATATAGTGTGGAGTGAGGAGTGAGGAGTGTGGAGTGTAAAGTGTAGAGTGTAGAGTGTGGAGTGGAAACTGTAGAGTGTGGAGTGTGGAGTGTAAAGTGAGGAGTGTGGAGTGTAAAGTGTTGAGTGTAAAGTGTAGGGTGTGGAGTGTAAAGTGGGAAGTGTGGAGTGTGGAGTGTAAAGCGTGGAGTGAGGAGTGTAAAATGTAAAGTGTGGAGTGAAAAATGTAAAGTGTAGAGTATGGAGTGTAAAGTGTGAAGTGTGGACTGGAAAGTGCAGAGTGTGAAGTGTGGAGTGGAAAGTGTAGAGTGTGGAGTGTGGAGTGTAAAGTGTGGAGTGAGGAGTGTAAAATGTAAAAATGTAAAGTGTGGAGTGAGGAGTCAAAAATGTAAAGTGTGGAGTGTAGAGTGTAAAGTGTACAGCGTAAAGTGTAGAGTGCGGAGTGTGGAGGGTAAAGTGTGGAGTGTAAAGTGTGGAGTGAGGAGTGCAAAGTGCAAAGTGTAGAGTGTGGAGTGAGGAGTGTAAAGTGTAAATTGTGGAGTGAGGAGTGTGGAGTGTAAAGTGTGGAGTGTGGAGTGGAAAGTGTAGTTTGTGGAGTGTGGAGTGTAAAGTGTGGTGGAGTGTGGTGGAGTGTGGTGGAGTGTGGGGTGTAGAGTGTGGAGTGTGGTGGAGTGTGGGGTGTAGAGTGTGGAGTGTGTAGGAGTGTAAAGTGTGGAGTGCAAAGTTTAAAGTGTGGCGTCCAAAGTGTAAATTGTGGAGTGTAGAATGTAAAGTGTAGAGTGTGAAGGGGGAGTGGAAAGTGCAAAGTGTAAAGTGTAGAGTGTGGAGTGAGGAGTGTAAAGTGTAAATTGTGGAGTGAGGAGTGTGGAGTGTAAAGTGTGGAGTGTAGAGTGTGGAGTGGAAAGTGTCGAGTGTGGAGTGTGGCGTGTAGAGTGTAAAGTGTGGAGTGAGGAGTGTGCAAAGTGTAGAGTGTGGTGGAGTGTAGAGTGTGCAGTGTGGAGTGTAGAGTGCGGAGTGTAGAGTGTAAAGTGCCACCCCTGCCACGCAAAACGACATGACAACCTGCTTGGAAACCTTCGAAAAGGAGAGATTTTGCAGCTTCCCCCATAGACACGGCGACGCCGCAGGAAAACCAGAGACTTGAGACGAGAGATGTGGGAGCATCAAAACGAGCCTTTCGTGCGAGACTTCCTCCAATTTTCATACTTTGTAGCTTCAAAACCGACGTTTTCCTACGAGTTTTCGTACGAGCCTTTAAATTTGCTACCTCAAAATCGATGTTTCGTGGGAGGCTTCCGTCAATTTTCAGCACATCTCACAAAATGCCACGTCTGCCACGGAATTTGCACCTTGTCTCCACTTGACGCGGCCCTGCCAATGCGATTCGTAAAAAACACGCAACACGACGCGTCTAAAGTGCTGCGCCTGCCACGCAAAATGACGATGGACACGTCCAAAGTGCTGCGCCTGCCACGAAAACTGCAACGCATTTTCTGAAAACGTCGCAAAAGTATTGCGCATGCCACATAAAATGACTTTCGACACGTTACAAAACACGTCTGAATGTCACGAGGTGCCACGCCTGCCACGCGAAACGCACAAATTACCCCTTCTGGAGAACTTACCAGAGGCACGGCCATATAGCAATCGCGCGGACGGTTGCGAGTGGTTGCGGACGGTTGGGCAACGGGAACCCTTGCTACGCATTCGGGAAAGAAAGGGAAAGGAAGGGAACGGAAGGGACAGGAAGGGAAAGGAAGGGAAAGGAATGGAAAGGACGGGAAAGGAACGGAAAGAAAGGGAAAGGAAGGGAAAGAAAGGGAAAGGAAGGCAAAGGAAGGGAAAGGACGGAAAAGGAAGAGAAAGGAAGGGAAAGGACGGGAAAGGAAGGGAAGGAAGGGAAAGGAAAGGAGAGGTTGATTTGGAAATCTGCCGCCGTCGCATGACCGTGCTCAGAACGAAGATTTTTTGCCCCAGAACGAAGATTCGGCGGGTCCGGCTTCAGAAGAAAAAAGGTGAGGACCAACCAACCTGACCATGGAACAAAATTATGGAAAAACATTATTTTTAATGGGGCCCTCACTATTTCTATGGCCATGGAAACCATGGCTATGTTAAATAACCATAGATGCGGCAGTGGCTTGGCAATTTTGTAGAATACGATACCCGTTTTTTCCCAAAAGTATCTCCGATGCTTGGGTTCTCGTTTAGTTTCTCGTTTGCTGCGGGGGAGCGATACGTAGTGTTGGACGGAGATGGGAAGGAAGGAAAGAAGGAAGGAAGGAAGGAAAGGAAGGAAGGAAGGGAGGAAGAGGAAGAGAAGGAAGGGAGGAAGGAAGGAAGGGAGGAAGGAAGGAAGGAAGGGAGGAAGGAAGGAAGGGAGGAAGGGGAAGAGAAGGAAGGAAGGGAGGAAGAAAGGGAGGGAGGAAGGAAGGGGAGGTGCAAATAGCTTGCGGACAGCTTCGCCGGGAGGGAGCGAGACAGCATGCTGGACGGAGGGGAAACCGTGGAAATAGCTTGGGGAGAGCTTCGCTGGGAGGGAGCGAGACAGCATGCTGGACTCAGAGGCTTTGACACAGAGAAGTCGTTTGCACAAAACAAAACCTTGCTTCTGTGTAAAACGTCCTCTGTGTGTAAAAGTCTCTGTAGAGCTGAAAAAATGAATTTTGCAGTGAATGCGCCCATAATATTCATCTTCCAAAAAGGTGCTGGCAAGAGGCGAAAGGGAAAGAAACCAATTCTTACTCGAATTTGTTTGCTGTCGTTTTGCTTTTGGGTTCTCAGGCCCCCCCTTGTTTGGGGATTGATAGTGGATTTTAGGGGGGTTACCCTCTGGTAAACGTTAACAAAAAACGAACCGGAAAGATCCACCATTTTTTATGGGTAAATCAACTATAAATAGCCATTTTCAATGTCGCAAACTGTAAACGTTTACCAGAGGGTATATTGTGGTCATTTGTGGTATATCATTATAGAATATTGTAGACCTGATTGATTGAGATTTCATTTACATAATTTTACATATTCATTGAGATTAATTGTTAGAATTTGATGTGTCATTATAGACGATCATGTGGTTGGGTCCCACTCAATGCGTAGCTCCTCGGATTGCTCCCTCCATTCACCACTGAATTTCGTAGATCGTCTCGACATCAAAATGGCAGGTTTTTTTCTGCTACACATGGTGAAAAATGAGGATGTTGCAATCAAAAACGCAGTGATTGAACTTTAACCATTGACACTAAAAATTTGAGTCATGCACCAACTTCTTTGGTCCAAATAAGCAAGAAAATATGTACTGTGGCATACCCTACATCTATCATATCATATCATATCCGTATCTTGTGGTGATTCACCGACTGGGATGCACCCACAGCCGAATAAAAAGGATGGGCTTTATGAGGTTTGTCTGAAAATTCTTGGTGCACCATTCCATCTATTGGTCCATCATCTCTTTCTAAATTTCCTTATCTCAGCTGTTTGGGAGTATACAAACCATTTTCTCAATGGGAATTCCAGGATCAAATTGGAGGTACTGTACCCTTTTTCAGGCCATATTTTCTGGGGATATTCCCTTACATAGGCCTAAAAAATAGGCCTTATATATGGAATCGGTACCTCCAATCAATCGGTTCCTGTTGCATGGCCATTGATTTTCAGAGCTTCCAGGAGAATTTCCACTTCTCTGGTTCCTTTGAGAATGTTTGTTTTCTTCAGTCTGAATTGAATCATTCACCAACCAGACATTGTCATACCCTCTGGTCATTTTTAACAGTTTGCGACATTGAAAATATGGCCCAGTCGAAATAGTTGATTTACCCAGCTAGAAAATGGTGGATCTTTCCAGTTCGCTATGTCAAATTACCAGAGGGCAATCATTCAATAACAATTCACCATTAGATAATTATTAACCATTATTAACCATTATTATTCTGGGTAAATTATAATAATTCACCAACCTGAATTAAGGCTATTTTGGGATGATTTCCCTTACTAACCATGATTTCCAGTGAGGTCCCAGTGAGGTCGTTATAATTTACCCAGATTATTACATTGTCAGTCATTTTAGGATGATTCCCCCAAACCATGACAGCAGCATTTCAACCATGACATCGCGACGCGACCCTTCAGGTCCGAATTTGTGCACAACAGTTGTTTATCAGTTCAAGTCGAGTAGCTGACCAGTTCGAAAGATAATTCCACCAGTTCCAAGGTCTTGGTTATGCTCCAGGAATTAATATGGGTTATATATATATATACTGGTATATTAATGAATATAACCCATTAGCCCCTCATTAAAGACTATTAATCCAAGTCTTTGATGTCTCCCCCGGCTTATTTCCTATGAAGTACTGTAATTGTTTCATGATCGCTTCCTATGAAATATCCCCAGCAAAAAATGCAGTACCCTCTGGTAAACTAACATAACTGTGGAAAATCACCATTTTTAATGGGAAAATCCACTATTTCTATGGCCATTTTCAATAGCTATGTCAAAAAAAACTCCATGGATCAGGATCAGATAGGATCATCAAGCACCAGAAAAAAAAATGGTGAAATCGATGGTGAAATCCCATGACCTGAAAAAAAATCTCATCAAACCTACCATTGTGGTTAATATATGGTTAATGATGGTTAATAATAATTCTGGTTGGTGGTTTTTCGCCCTACCCCTCTGAAAAATGATGTTTTGTGAGTGAAAGTCAGTTGGGATGATGTTCCATTCCCAACTGTTTCTGGAAAGTCATGAAAGCCATGTTGCAAACCACCAATCAGTATATAGATCTATTAAGCCATATTAAGATATATTAAGTCCCATTAACCCATATTAAGTCCCAAATATTCTGATGAATGAATGGGATTTAATTTCTGGATGGAACGGAATGGATTACAGTAAAACACCGTTGACTTCGCGGCCTTTGTCCTTGTTGCCCTGGAAGGGGTTCCGCAACCTCTGGGCGTTTATCGGAGCGCTTGGAGGATCATCCCAGGGATCATAGGTCCACCCTGATGGACATAGCCGGCCTGGTAAACGTTAACAAAAAACGATGGAAAGATCCACCATTTTTGCATGGGTAAATCCACTATAAAATCTATAAATCACCATTTTGAATGGGTAAATTAACTAATTTCTATGGGCCATGGCTTCAATGTCGCAAAACGTAACAAATTCGTCACCTATTTTTTTTGGATTTTCCCATGGGGGAGACCATCAACCATATCAAGCGTCGTTGTGGATCTGCAACTATGCCACATACCCGGCCTGGTAATAATTACTGGGAAAACCATCATTCTTAATGGGAAAATCAACTATAAATGGTGATTTAATGGGATGTAATGGGATTTAGCCTCTGGTAATGACTAACGTTTTGCGACATAGAAAATGACCCAGTCGAAATAGTGGATTTTCCCATGAAAAGATGGTGGATCTTTCCATGGTTTTTTGTTAACGTTTACCAGAGGGTAAGTCCTTTTTCCCCATCAACATCCATCAACCCTGACCAAGAGCTTGTTTGAATCCATATTCTTCTTGTGTATCGTTGGGCAACCCGAGAATTCCATGACACCTCCAGTTTCCTCAACCAACGCTCAACCTGCCTTTTCTATCCTTTTCTATGCTTATGCGAATTTACACGGGAGCTATACCCTCGGGAAATGGCAATGTAAAACCCACTATTGATAGATGATACACCTATTCATACTACATGTTGCCTTTCCAAAGTCATAGTTAGATGACTCAGCCATTGAAAACATCCAAAGACACTGTTGTTCTGTTCCTGCAACCCACCATTGCCAGGATGATTCAGCTATAGAATACCAGAGGAAAACCAAACGCAGGCCGCAGGCCTGAAGCCATTCCCTCGCTTGTCCCGAGACCTCAGCTTTTTACGCGGGATGATCGTCCCAATCAATGTGCTTCATAAGCTACATAGCCTCTGGTAATTTAACAGTTTGCTATTGAAAATGGCTCCTTAACAGTTGACTTATGTATTCCATATGGTGATGTTCCATATTTTCCATAGCTCTGTTAGTTTACCAGAGGCTAATATGGTTGATAGCATGAGGCATCTTTTTCATAAAATTGGCTAATCATATAGACATCCAAATCTCGAACGGCAGTACGTTGAATATTCGCGGTTTTTCGATGTTTTCCGGGCATTAGCCTCTGGTCATTTAACGCTTTAAGCTATGGAAGCGATTGGACCCATAGATAAGAAACATGATGTTGCATCCATAAACGGCTGATTTCTGGTTTAACCAACAAAAACCATGGGAAAACGCATAGGAAAACCATAGGAAAATGGAGATCTACCCTCTGGTTATTTAACATAGCCATGGTATAGATGGCCCATTTATAGATGATCTTCCCAGAAACCTCCGTTTATGGTTGGGATTTTCCATGGCTATGTTGAATAACCAGATGGTATGATTATCTAGATGATCTCCCTAATGAACATGACAATCCATCCACAAACATAGATAATACCCTCTGGTAAACGTTTACATAGCGAACTGGAAAATCACCATTTTTAATAGGTAAATCAACTATCAATGGGCCATTTTCAATAGCTATGTTAGTGTACCAGAGGGTATACATTCATGATAATCCCCATTCAAACTGTTGATTTTCCATATATGTCCAGCTCGCAAACTCTTAAATAACCAGAGGCTAAGTCTGAACATTGGTGCAAGGTGCGGGTTTTGTATATGTTCTGACGTCTGGTTTTTGTTTAGCTCGCAGAGGTAAACTTAATATTATATATATATACATACATACATACATATTTCTTCCTTTGGTATCTGTAGCTGCGAAAAATTTGGTGCCCAATTGTGTTTTAAGCAATAAACCTCAAGTGATATCAGTACAGCCAGCCGCATTTTTTTCCGTTTTTTTGCTGGCAAAGTTTGGAGGAAACCCATGGTCGAAATGGATGTTCCACACGGCTTGCCATGGATGAAATCCAAAAGAGGATGGCCTTGTTGGACCATGTTGGACCATTGATGAAATGGGGATGGGTCATGGCACCCTGGTACCGTGCCGTGAACCCCAAGTCATAGCTGGGATTTATGGATGTGAATAACCCACTAAAAATGTATCTATAGGTATTGACCCATACCCAAATGAGAATTGGATAGATCCTGAATTAATTCCGATAGAAATGATCTTTAACTTAAATTTTAAGTCCTCAAAGAGTTCTCAGATCTTGAGCCGCGACCCAGTAGTCCTCTCAGTTTCGGACACATCCTTTTGCACATCAGGCTCTACCTTGTCCCGTGTACACGGGATATCACTACACTCAGCAGGCCATTTTTTGCCAAGGTAAGGTGGTAAACCCAATAGAAGTCGGGATTGAACTACGATAATTGATACTATAATCATGAGATTTAAACACGAATGTATATTTCAAATGTATGTAATCCTGCAAATAAATAAATGATGCATAAATCAATAAATAAACCATAATAAAATCATATACACCTACAAAAAAAAACTAGTGTAACTGAATCCTAAGCCCCCTGTTTTGGTGCATCGTTGTTTACTTGACCCAGGCGATTCGCTGCCTGTCCCTGCGCCCCTTGCGCCGCTTGCGCCGCTTGCGCCGCTTGCGCCGCTTGCGCCGCCGCAGCAGCGGCATTGGCAGCAGCCGCCAACCAGGAGACAGCTCCTGTGACACCTGCGAGAAATGCGGAAATGGCCATCAAAAATGTTGAAGTGTTGAAAAAATATGTGCAAAAGGTGATGAAATTCGGTATCAATTTGTTGTAGTTGAATCATTTTATGTAGTTAAATCTTACCATGGGTCAAAGAATTAAGATGGGAACAAAAATACCGTGAAAATCGGTGCAAACTGACGATTTAACAATCAAAAGATGGTGATGAATTAAATGATTTACCCGTCAAAAATTGATTAAAAATCAATGACTTTATATAGCCATTAAAAATGATGGCTCACTGGGATTGAATGGTGAAACATGGGAAAAAGAATGGATCTAACAACTGAAGAATGGTATGGATCTAACAACTCAAAATGGCAATTGAACTACGTAGGGTAAATAAAGTTTAAAAATTAAAAATAAATAAGTGGGTAGATGGGGGTAGCCTATCTTCAGACAGACACAAATGTATGGTGGAAGTTTAACCATTTTTGAGGATAACACCAACAAAAACAGGGCTGGAGAATTGGTCATCATCCAGCACTGAAAGTTGTGAGGATGTTTAAAATATGGATTGAACAAAACATGTTCCAACCCTTGACAAGGAAAATTGGCGGAATTTACATGACGAGGATTTAATTTGCCCAAAACGATATAAACGATGGTGTGTAGTGGCAACACGGGTTTCTGGGAAGTCAACAAAACCAGCAGGATGGTGCCCCCCAGTTATAAGTTGGTTTATAAACCCCATTAACTATACGTAGTTATATCTGCCATAAACCATAGTGAAATGGGCGTTATGTTCACCAACTTAGCTAAGGAACTGGGGCACCACCTTGAGGAGATCCACAAGTTTGAGCTGTGAGAACCTTTGTTTCCCCCAACCATCTGCTTCCAGGTCGAAAATTAGACATTCCCCGTAAGTGTCATCTGTATCGTTTGGTCGGCTTGGAGCCAGTCATGAAAAATGTCCCAAAACAGGCAACCCTGGCACCCGAATATGTCTTAGTGACCCAAGACCAACAGAATTGGACCAGCTTTATCTGGTTGGTGGTTGAGCCCTACCCCTCTGAAAAATGATGGAGTGAAAGTCAGTTGGGATGATGACATTCCCAATATATGGAAAAATAATCCAAATGTTCCAAACCACCAACCAGTATAATATATATATATACATTAATGTATAATTATATCATGGATATTCATGGATCATATATGCCAGAATGATTCATTTGATTTCATTTGTCAAATTTGGTGGTTCGGTTATGTACTAAGTTTGACGTATTTTGACCCACCACCAATTGAAACCACAAACCAAATTACCACCCGCCTTTGGCCACGACGGAAGCGATGAGCCTTACTCGAAAACAGCTGAATGGAGGTTGTAATGGCAAAATCATCCACAAAAGTGGGGGAAAAAATCCATAGGATAGTGCTTGTCAATCTATTTAGGGAGCGCCACGTATAGTTGAAAACTGATCTGTTTCTTCACAGTCTCTTATGATCTTTCCAAAAGAATGCATAACTGTGTGCTCCTGAACAACCCAAATATTTGTCTTAACCAATCATCCCAAGTATGGTCTCAAAGAAATCCCCAACCAGAAAAAACCCTCCGGAAAAATCAAACGTGGCATGGTGGAAAATCCACCATTTAAGATGATTTTGCCAGAAACTTCCGCTTACCCTCTGGTAATTTAACAGTTAGCTATTGAAAATGGCCATTTATAGTGAATTTTACCATTAAACATCGTGATTTTCCATAGCTATGTTAATGTTTACCAGAGGGTATAGAGAATTACCCGAGAGTAACATCCCATTATAATATATTCCCATGAATATTCCATGAACATATCCGAGATTAATCCCATGGGAAGATCTAAAATCGAGATTTTTTTTAAAAATCCATGATTCATGAGATGGGATGATAATTTTCGAATAGGATGGGATTGTGTTTTTCTCAAAGATGGTGGTTGTAATTCTTGGATGATGATCCCATCCTTTTTGAACAACATCTAATTGATGACACCGCTCAGACCGGCTACAATGGTTCACCATCCCATCTGCACCAGGGCTCCCCACTTCAATGTTTTGATGATGGGCCACGCCGGTAGGACCACAACGTGCCCCACAGATGCCAGCGCTTTGCCGCACTGCAGCACCTACCCATGAATATTCCGTGGCCGAAACGGAAAACAAGGCTGGATTTAAGAATCAAACAGGGTCGACCTTAGTCTTAGTGCACTTAAAAAATCAAAATCTTTTGCTGGTTACCTGGTGATTTTCCATTTACCCTCTGGTTATTTGTTACAGTTCGCCATGGTATAGATGGCCCTAATCGAAATAGATGGTTTACCTATTAAAACTGAAGGATTAAACTACCCTTTCCAGTCGTGGACTGGGTGGTGTGACACCAATGAATCATTCGGAAAAGCCGTGCGACACTCCAAAAACGGAGGTTCACCCCTATCTATTTCATCCAAAGAATTTGTTGTTTGTGATTTTGTATCACGGTTGTGGAATAATTACACATCTTTGACGGGTGGTGAGAGTTAAAATCATGGTTTGTGGCTATGTCAACCTCAAAGAGTTGGGCAAAAACTATGGTTTATATTGGGTTATATTATAGAAGATGTTGTACGTATATAAACATATTTTCTGTACATCCACATAATGATATGTTCATATCTACGTATGTATGTATAATGCATACCCATGCGTAATTATACATCATGATACACTCTATGTGTAGATAGCAAAATATCTATGTACATAGTTTCATTTTTTCAGACGACATATGGCTACATATCTATCTGCATACCCTCCAGTAATTCAACAAAGCTATTGAAGAAGGCCCATATATACTTCGATGATTTACCAATCATTTTAATGGTTATGTTCCAGTTCGCAAACTGTTAGTCAATATCAGAGCGTAACCATCCAAAATGTTAGATTTAACCATCAAAATGTTAGATTTTATCTGGTCTAACATATTAATCAACTAACCATCATCGCAAAATCAACATGGATAGATTTAACCATTAGCCTCTGGTAATGACTAACAGGTTGCTATAGAAAATCCACCCATGCTATTGTCAGAACGCGATTAGGGCCATCTCGAAAATCGGGCCATCAACGATGGCCAGGATCCACTGGATCCAGCCTGGATAGATCAAATCCAAAATCCCATCCACATCTCCCAGGCTGCCAGGATCAGGCTATATATCTGGATAAATTATAATATAGGCCATACGTCATACGTATTGTATACCATCTGTTGATGGTATATTATACGTCATTGTAGATGTATAAATATAATATATATCTGGGTAAATTATAATATTTCACTAACCTGAAATAAGGCCATTTGGGGATGATTCCCCTTACTAACCATGATTCCAGTGAGGGAGAACAGTGAGGTCGTGATCAAATTTACCCAGATATATTGAGCTATACCCATCACCAAAAAGGGGCCCCAGGGCCCCACGTAAAAAATCCGCATCGGTTGGGGCCCCGTGATCTCCCCAATGAAAAAAAAAATGGCTATGGAAAGAGATGGCTATGGATAAATTTCATGGTGAAAACCCAATGTTCAAATCAATGGACGTTGAAAAGCTCACCGAGGGTAAATCCCCAAGTTTGTTGGGAAATATAATTATATAACCTTTGAAAAGATAAGTTTGCTATCAATGGTGTTGGTAAAATTGGCTTTGATTGAATTTCATTGAAAAAGTGATCAGGACTATAACATCCACCAATGAAATTTCCAACTGCATCATATGATAACTCATGATAACTGATATCAATGGGCTATTGATTGACTGTTCTATATCATACACATGCATTGGATCATAACTATAACATCCTATAACCAATACCCTCTGGTAATTTAACGTTTTGCGACATAGAAAATGGCCCAGTCGAAATAGTTGATGTCTCCACTGAACATGGTGGATTTTCCATAGAAATTGTTGATTTTCCCATTGAAAATGCTGATTTTCCATAGAAATAGTTGATTTTCCCATTGAAAATGTTGATTTTCCATAGAAATAGTTGATTTTCCCATTGAAAATGCTGATTTTCCATAGAAATAGTTGATTTTCCCATTGAAAATGCTGATTTTCCATAGAAATAGTTGATTTTCCCATTGAAAATCTGATTTTCCATAGAAATCGTTGATTTTCCCATTGAAAATGCTGATTTTCCGTAGAAATTGTTGATTTTCCCATTGAAAATGCTGATTTTCCCATGAAACATGGTGGTTCTTCCATCGTTTTTCCCGTTGACCCAGGCCGGGTACCGCGAGATCTCCGAGCTCCCCGACCAGAGCCAGGAGTAGCTTGGCAGGTCTACCCACCAGCGTCCTCGGCGATGTGAACCCTCAAGAAATGGTGAAAATTTGGGATAAAACCATGATAAATCCTACTAGGGATTATTTGTCCAAGAATCATGAAAATCATGGGATGGCAATTCCTATATTAATTTTCCATAGCTATGTTAGTTTACCAGAAGGTAAAACCATGGAAAAAGCCATAAGGTTGCTCCTGATTTGGGTCAAAATGTGGATAAAATGTGGATAAAACATGATAAACCCTCAGATACATCATGATGGCCATTTCAGAGGCACCTACCGTATATAAGGCCTATTTTTCAGGCCCAAATTTCAGGGAATATCCCCCCAAAATATGGCCAAACATATGGTACTAAGTTAGTACCTCCATCAATTGGATCCTGAAATTCCCATTGATCTCAGATTGAAATCAATGTGAATTCCAGGATCCTAAAATGGAGGTACGTTAGTACCATATGTTAGGCCATATTTTGGGGGGATATTCCCTGAAATTTAGGCCTGAAAAATAGGCCTTTTGTCGGTACCTCCAATGAATCGGTTCCTGTTGCATGGCCATTGATGAAATAAGCAATTCACCTACAAAGGATTGGAGGAACTCTGAAAGCTGTGGATTGAACCATTGGTTTTTTGGTGATTTTTCACACAAGACCCCTTCATCACGAAATCTGGTGCTGGAAGCAACAAATCCCTAAATGAACTATGGAAAGATCCACCATGTTTAATGGGTAAATCCACTATTTCTATGGCAATTTTCAATAGCAAACTGTTAGTTGACCAGATGGTAACATATGATAAAATACTGTATGAAAATGATGTTCAAAACCGATCAGATCGATTCATAAAAATGTTTAAACAGATAGACAACAACATCGCTCAACTTAGATCCGCAGCTTTCTGCTACTTTCTAGCTGCGCTGTTCTCCATGAAAATGAAGCAAAATCATAGCTATAGAATCAATGGAAATTCCAGGATCCTAAAATGGAGGTACGTTAGTACCATTTTTCAGGCCATATTTTCTAGGGATATTCCCTGAAATTTAGGCCTGAAAAATAGGTCTCACAGATCGACTTTTTGGGACAAGGCCATGAATTGGGACAGATCGCGATGTGAGGTCATCACAAATTGACCCAGGTATCTTGATTCTATCTCCACATATCCCCACTAATTATAATATATATATATATAATATATATAATATAATATATATATAATATATATATATATAATATATATATAATATATATAATATATATATAATATATAATATATATAATATATATAATATATATATATATATACATGCGTATATATGTATATATACAGTGTGTATATATATAATTATTCATATATCCTCGTTATATCAAGTTGCTTGTAGGATAATTGTGGCTTCTCCCACATTTTTCCCGCATAATATACGATCCCCTTATTGATGGTAATATCACTTGTGTATTAGTTAACGGTTACCCATTGAAGCCATGGCCCATAGAAATGGTTGTTTTACCTATTCAAGATGGTGATTTATAGTTGACTTACCCATTAAACATAGTGATTTTCCATAGTTTTTTGTATGTTTACCAGTTGATTTACCTATAAAAAATGGTGATTTTCCAGTTCGCGAACTGTAAACGTTTACCAGAGGGTTTTTCTCCGCTGGTATCATCCCATTCACCAACCACGACTGGGGGGAAGTTGTTTCACATCATCCCATATCTTTTGGGCTATACCGCCATGCCAACTCTCGGGTATCTCTTATCGGCTTTACCACATTGGTTATATATACAAAGTGAGGCCCCCTAGATAGCCAAGTTGGTTTATAAGTCCAATAACTATGGTTTATGGTATTTATAACTATAGTTATTGGGGCTTATAAACCAACTTATAACTGGGGGCCTCACATTGTAGGATCAAAAACTACTAGTGTGGTAAAGCCGATGATAAACCTACCATGACTGGGGATGGCTATTACAACCCATTTACAATGATTTTTCTTTGGGATGGTTGATTGTTGGGTTTACCACTTTAGCACATTAATCCCATTAATAGTTCCGTTGTCGCATCTATTCATTAAATCGATAGTACTCTTAATCGCATTATATATATATATGTATGTATGGTTTTAAAGTGTATTAAGTACTATTTATCCCGCTATTTTTGGTATGTGTATGTTTGTCCATATATCCTACTAAAAAAAAACACACATGAATGGTTTAGTAATACATCCCAGTCATCCCATGTCATGGTGGTTAAACCCCAGTATTGACGTAGGATTTATCAGGATTATCCTAAAAAATTGTCCCAATTAATATCTGGTTGGTGGTTGGTCAAGAAAAAAATACTATTCATGTTTAGCAATCTTAAATTAGAACTTACTTAGATCTCCATTTACTTAGATAAAAACTGGTTGGTGGTTGACCTACCCCTCTGAAAAATGATGGAGTTCGTCAGTTAGGGTTACTATTCCCAATATATGGAATCATAATCCAAATGTTCCAAACCACCAACCAGATATAGGAATTCCCATCTCATCATTTTCATGATTCTTGGACAAATAGTCCCTATTATTTTTTCCTATTGTTGGCGAAATCCCATATATATATATATGTATATATCCTATTATAATATATCGCATTATATTAATGGTATGGGAGAACAGTAAGTATGATGCTTAAATCACTAGTACTGAGAATATCCTTATAAATATGAATAATCCTATACAATCCCATATTCTTCTGGTTGGTGGTTTTAACCATCTTGAAAAGTATTAGTCAATGGAAAGGATTATCCCATATATTATGGAAAATAAAACATGTTTGAAACCACCAATAAGCATATTCTGAGTAAGATGCTTAAATCACTACGAAATTCATGAGATGATCCTCAAAGCTGAAAAACAACAGATGTCCTGCCTCACAGATTTGACGATGAGATGACCCACCGCTTGAGCTGCATGGGTGGTTTTCCTGGTGTGCAAGCCGGCCGGAGGTACAAAATGTCCGTCAAAGGTAGTGAACATGGTTAGTTCATTGTGGTTTAATTGTTTTTTTGTGGGTATTTATATGTGTGATATAGATGTTGCTTGGATTTATTGGGTTTTACTGTGTTAAAAACTGGGGGATCGTGGGGTTTGAACCATCTATACATGGTCCATTTTCCCATGGCAAACTCCGAAATTATGTTGATGAATTATAACTACTAGATATTACTAGTTAATACTTCACTAGCCTGAATACTTCAGCAATTTTGGGAGAGTTGGCCCCTACTAATCATCATTCCAGTGACGTCGCGATGTTGTGACGTGAGGTCATTGTAATTTTTCCCAGAACATATCCATAAATTATGGATGATCTTCCCATTCAACTCTTGAAACATGGGAAGTTCCCCTTCGCCAAGTCTAGTTTCATTCATTGGTCAAGAAAAAAATACTATTCATGGTTACCAATCTCAAATTAGAACTTACTTAGATCTCCATTTACTTAGATAAAAACTGGTTGGTGGTATACCTACCCCTCTGAAAAATGATGGAGTTCGTCACTTGGGATGATGAAATTCCCAATATATGGAAAGTCATAATCCAGTCATGTTCCAAACCACCAACCAGTATATATATGTATGATTATATCATGGATCATATATACGAGAATGATTCATTTGATAGTTATGTTAGATTTCCATTTACTTAGCTAAAAAATGCGGACTTTCTTGGCGAACCAGTCGCACCTCAGGCCGTCTTCGGGACCACGGAAGGCCTGACACAACGACTCTAGGTTAGCTCACAAAAATGGCCGGTTGAATATGGAAAATGATGGGAAAACATTGGAAAATATGGGAAAATTTTGAAATGTGATGTTTTCAACAAGGAAATGTATAACATGAGGAAGCCTGGTTGATGAATTTGGTGGTTACCCCAAAAAAGTGACCATTTCCCATTGAAATGAGGGTATTAGATCACCTCTCAGGTATACTTGTTCACTTTTTCAGGGGTGGTAAGTTTGGATAAAAAGAAAAAATATGTGTTACCCTAGGGTAGACTCACATAGATGTGGAAAACCCCACGGTTTCCCCTTCGGAAAAAGATCTACAAATGGTAAATTGTCCACATCTGTTGCATGGCTTATAAAGTCGGGGTACCCCAAAACCATGGTGACTCATCCCATTAAAACATGGGAAGACCGCAGATTGTGTCCTCAACCTTTCGGTGATTGCCAGAGGGTCCATCATTGTTGGTGAGAATCAAGTTCTATGCCACTACATCTCATCCCAAAAAAATGATGGTTCTAGCCAGCATGATTTTTTTTCCCCATAAGATATCATCCTGTAAAGGTAACCACATGTGGAGTTGACCCACTGTAGATCATGTTCCGAATGGCGCCAGCTCCATATAACCAATATGGTGGATGAAGCTCCCATGGGGCGCCTTGCTGACTCCATCCTCAACGCCCTTGGTCCGGTCTGCATTAAAAAGGCGCACTTCGAGGTCTGGATGTCATGGTGGAAATCATCATGACGATTCACATAGAAAACATTAGAAAATAATAGGTACTATGGTTTCCTATCATCAATGGGAATTCCAGGATCCTAAAATGGAGGTACGTTAGTACCATATGTTTGGCCATATTTTGGGGGGATATTCCCTTACATAGGCCTGAAAAATAGGCCTTATATATGGTAGGTACCTCCAATTTAGGTTCCTGAAATGGCCATTGAACTATGGTTTCCTATCATAGTGAAAGATGAATTGTCGGGAAACTATGCGGACATCTATGGGGGTACCCCCTTGCATCATCCAAGTTATGGATGGCCATGACTTAGTATTGAAGCCTATGGTGACTTGGGGATCCACTATTTTAAGAAACCACAATATGACAATATGTATTGGTTTATATAATAGAAAATGAAGTTCGGAAAGCATGGTAGTTTCCCAACAAATATGTGGGGTTTGTCCTTCAAGACTTCCCTACAATTGACTCTGGCAATCATTGGTGCTGGATCTCCGGGTTTCATGTGTAAATCTACCGACAAAAAAATATTCACCGCTTTTAAAGGCAGTGAAAAAAATGGTTACTGAATTTCTGTTGGATACACTGTCCGGAAAAAATATGAAAAGGAAAACCCACCATTCGAATGTCCATGGATTTCCATCGATATATACCTTACCGATAAAAAAAAAAACCTACTTTCACTACGTCAAGACGAAAACAAGAACCCAATGTCAAAAATGACATTGGGTTAATGTCGATTAAGGTTGGTCAATGATCTTGGATTTGCTTAAGTCAATAGGAATTTCAGGATCCTAAAATGGAGGTACGTTAGTACCATATGTTTGGCCATATTTTGGGGGGATATTCCCTTACATAGGCCTGAAAAATAGGCCTTATATATGGTAGGTACCTCCAATTTAGGATCCTGCAATGGCCATTGATTAAGGAACCCAAAAAAATCAGATATATTCTCTATAGATTCCCCCATTGCTCGTGGATTTCCTCGTAATTCATCCGCCAAATCCAGGGCCCATGATGCCGATTTTTTCATCACCATTTTGTCACTATGAACCACCATTGAACCACTGTTGACCATTATGAACCACTACAAGGTTGTGCTTTCCCAGTGATGTGAACGTTGCTTTATAAACCATAGGAATAGTAGTTCGATATATCTACCATAAACCATAGTGAGTTATTGGAGTTATTTTTTTCACCAACTTATGTTCACCAACTTGGCGATTCCGAACTGGGGCACCACCTTGTATGAACCACCATTAAACCACCATTGAACCACCATTGAACCACCATTGAACCACCATTGAACCACCATTGAACCACCATTGAACCACCATGAACCCACCATTAAACCACCATTTTTCACCATCATCACCAGCCTCCCGGTGAAAAATTGCCGCGGCACTGCTCGGCCCAGTAGGAAGGCCATCAAGCCCAGAAGGAGCGCCAGCAGAGTCATGGCCTCGGCATTTCGCTTCGCCATGGTTTTCCAAAAGGGGGGAACATCTGTCATTGGATTGGTTTAAGGGAAAATCGAAGCCGGAAACCATGGTTTTTACCATCAAATATAGGGGTTTCCTGTAAATTTTCCCATCATCCAATTCTATGAATCTGGGAAGAAGAGTGAAAAATATGGTGAAGAAATGGATGATTTAAGCCATTTAAACAAAAAAAAATGATGCTTTACTGATGGTTTAAGCCATGTTTGGATGATTTGAGCCACCGAAAAAATCAATGCTGATTGGAATTTCATGGTGAACATTGGATGATTTCACCATGAAAAAACACTTGGATTTAACCTCCAGTAAATTAACAGTTCGACCCTGCCAGTTATCGGGGTTGGAAGATGAATGGTTCCGCAAAAAAAATGCTCATTTTCAGGGTCAACATGTTAATTTACCAGAGGGTAAATCTCCATTTTCCTATGGTTTTCCTATGATTTTCCCATGGTTTTTGTTGGATTCCAGGCTCAACATATGGGGATCCGTCAAAATTTGCCATCTACCGTCGGAGTGTGACTGTGATCCAACTTTGGGGTACCTTTTGGGCCTCGATTCATTCTCAAAGCCTATGGGCCTATGGGGTATCGATGGCTTGGAGGGTAGATGATCTTAATGTAATGATATGGTATTAATGGTTAATATATGGTTAATATATGGTTAATAGATGGTTAATATATGGTTAATATATGGTTAATATATGGTTAATAGATGGTTAATAGATGGTTAATGTAATGGTTAATGATGATGAATGGTTAATGTCATGGTTAAACAAAATGGTGGTTAATGATGGTTATATTGAGATACCATCTGGTTATGACATTCACAGTTCGCCATGGTTTAAATCGATGGCCCGATTTTCGAAATAGATGCTTTACCTGGGTTTACCATTCTTAAAAATGGGTGGATTTTCCATGACGAACTGTTAAATAACCAGATGGTAAACTGGTAAACAGTAAATTGTGATTTGTTTAACATGGAAATGTGGTAGGAAAATATAAGTCCTGCCCAACTGCGACAGTTTACCCGTTAATAATAAGTACGGAATAGACAGAAAAAAATGAATTACGGTTGATAAATATCGTAGAAAAAAACATCGTGACAAATACCCTCTGGTAAACTAACATAACTATGGGAAGATCCACCATTTTTAATGGGAAAACTCACTATTTCTATGGCCATTTTCAATAGCAAAACGTTAGTTTACCAGAGGGTATCGTCGAATAAACCTCTTGGAAAACAGTACTGCATCTTTCTGCGGACCCATATAATGGGAATGTAATAGGATACAGGTGGCTAGAATAGGGATAGAAGGGGAATTTAATAGGAATATGATGCCAATATAATGGGAATATCTTTGGAGTATTTGTAAGTGGATCTACTGCGAATACAGTCATGGGAAGATAGTTTGATTGGTATAAGGCCTATGTAAGGTCTATGTAATATCCCTAGAAAATATGGCCTCAAATACGGTACCTGGCATAGATGTCCTTTTCCTATTGGTTGGTTGATTAATAGAGGGGTTTGAAGAAACCCCTTTAACAACAGGTAAATGATGATAGATGATGATAGATGGTATACCAGCTCCCGGCCCCTCAATTTTTACCATTTTAGGACATTATTGGTACCTGGTACCCTCTGGTAAACTAACATAGCTATTGAAAATGGCCATAGAAATAGTGGATTTTCCCATTAAAAATGGTGATTTTCCATAGCAAAATGTTAGTTTACCAGAGGGTACCTCCATCTTCCTGAAATTCGCATTGAAAACACCGGCGAAAAAACCCGTCGCGGGAAGCCGCACCAAAAGCACCACAGCCACCACCCGACGGTCGTGTGACTTCCATTTCAGCACAGAAGCCTCGGGGAATTCGTGAGACCTGGGACCTCTGATGGTCACCGACGTACTGTTGATTGGATTGGTTTAAGGGAAAATCTACAGGAAATCATAGATTTTCCTATCAAATATAGGGGTTTCCTGTAAATTTTCCCATCATCCAATTCTATGAACTGTACTGTGGATGGTTTTTAGTATGAAATAAGTGGTCGGTCAGAAAAGAAGTGTGACTGAACCCAATAAAAAAATCGTGGATTTCAGCACAAATATGTAACCTGTAGAATATGTGATGTGTTCATCCAAAAGTCAACACTCAAAATTTTAGGATGCGTCCCATGGCGAGGGTTTTAATTAACACAAATGATCGTGTATCAAGCAGTATAATTTGGTTGGAAGGTCCACCACCTATAATGTAGTAAACCCAATGTCATAAACCATTTCCAATAGAGGGTTATGGTATTGGATATACCCTCAAAAATGAGAGCATGTAAATGATCCCCAAATGGTTGGTGAATGGGATGCTTTATTGGGTTTACCGGTTTACCACATTAATGTCAACCCCGGATTAATAAACCATGGTTTATTAATTAGGGGGGTACCCTCCAAATAGTCACAATATGATACTTAAATGGTATCCCCCCAACTAAAC